TCAATTTGCCTCCTCCTGTTCATGTTTGGCTGTTGTAACGATGCTAAGCAGTTTCTTGATTCGAGCAAAAATATTAGCTTACTAATTCCATACAAGAATATAAAAGTCACTCCAGACCTTACGCCCTGTAAACGTTGTGTAAGAAGACGTGAAGCGATAGAATTTGTAGCGGTATATAAATCCCCAAAGAAATAGCTCTGTAAGTTTTCGACATTGGATGCTGACCATATAGTTTAGTGAACTCATCTATCGGTCAGTACAATAAGACGTCTTCAAAGGCATCGTACTAGGTTCCACAACTTAAATGACTTCTCGTGTGTAGTAACGATGACAGTAATACTTGTCCGAACAGAGGCAATAAGTACACAAAGGGCAGTCACACAGGAAAAACCTCTCTGCACTCACCATACTCCTCCAAAGTAAACTTATACGTTTTAAATCGAGAGGGAGTATATTCATTAAATGCAAACAGGTATACAAAGATCCCAAACTTGTCACAGAATTATTTCGTGAACACCTTTCTTGCTCACTAACTAACGAAAAACCATTTAATGATTCAGAACCAATCCCATTACCTCCCGGTGAAATTACTAATGTAGAATTCAATGTACAAATTATCTTTAAGGCAATCAGTACATTGAAACACTCCTACACTGATGGTATTCCATCTAGCATGCTAAAGCGTGGAGGTGATGATATGTATGTTTTACTTCTCAAACTATACGCGATATTACTCTCTGCAGCGTGTTACCCTACTGCCTGGAAAACTACGCATATCATTCCCAAGATTAAAACAGGACCTGAAGCAAATGTTGGCAATTACTGGCCAATAAACATAACTTCAGTGGTATCTAGAGTGATGGAAAAAGTTGTTAAGGCAGCGGTAGTCCAAGATCTACTTACTAATAATCTCATCTCGACCTCCCAGCATGGATTTCTTAGGTCCAGATCACGCGATACATGCCTAGTAGACTACCTGAACGATATAACTCTGAAACGAGACAACGGACTCCTTGTATCAGTCCTATTCTTAGACTTTAAGAAAGCCTTCGATAAGGTCCCACACAAAAAGCTTCTCGTCAAACTAAAGTCCTTCGGAATAAACAACCCACTGTACTCATGGTTTGCTTCGTTCTTAACAGAACGTAAACAGATGGTAAAGTACAACGACTGTCTCTCGTCACCTAGACCAATCACCAGTGGAATCATCCAGGGAAGCATATTAGGTCCACCATAGAATTCGAGGAACCATACTTATATGCTGATGATCTCAAAATAGTATACAGCTATAAGCCTGAGACACCAAGCGAAAGTGTATCCCAGATCCAAAACGACCTCAATAACTTAACCATATGGAGTGAAAAATGGCAATTACCATTTAACCTCAACAAGTGCGGGATCATGCACTTTGGAAAGCATCCCTATAAATTGCAACTTCACTTAAATAAAAGTAGAGTCCAAACGCTCAAATCAGTACACGATTTAGGAATTAATTACACAGGAAGCCTTTCTACAGGTTAAATATACATTATTCTTCCTAAAAGTCATGCCTTCTTTTCTATTGCAAGTAAACAGATAGCTCACTAATCTTATGGATGCTGATCTACTAAGGCCGATCATACAAAGCTCAAAATTTGGCCACAAAGTCTTGTGAATTACTCAATGTTTTATTTTTCTTACCCTAAAATCTTTGTTTCTACAATTTTATACCCTCTCATATCTTTTGATTTGCTATTAGTTCTTACTTCTTTTAACCATTAGTTACCTTTATAGCAGTATGATATGCTATAACATATAACCCATAAAACAAACTTTTTAACGATCTCATTTGTCTGTAACATAGACCTAGTAGAGACAGTGTATTTCAACTATGGGCTTCGATTAAAGCAGTATTCATACTTACCATAAACGCAAGAGAGGCTTACATCACAAAAGGAGGGAGGGTGGCGTTACTGATCAGCAAACATGATGTTGGGGAGATAACTTCAATTCACCCATGTCTGTAGGGCAGAACATCTTGTTTAATTACGGCTCCTAATGGTTTAGTGGGTTGTCACGAACTTAAGGTTTTAATGCTGATTTATCATGCAAAATAACTCTTGAAATCGTGTTAGGAACGTTCAATTGGTTTCACTTCCTACCCGCTAATCCTATTACAAGCAAACTGGACAATTCGATAATATACGAAGCCTACTCAAGACCCTATGATACCTAAAAATTAAAAATAATAATACAAAACAGATGAAAAGGACTCCAACAGCTTCTATAAAAAAGGAAGATAGTCAATTGTATATCAAAATACTGTTGTTAGCAATATATATTATAACCACACATAATCTCAGACATACTAGAAAAAGTGCACAGGGCAGCTACGCGTGCAATTCCGAAACTCCGAGGTTTATCATATAAAGAGCGGCTTGAAAAACTGAACCTCTTTACTCTGTTCTATCGCAGACTAAGGGGAGATCTAATATTGATGTACAGAATATTGAGACATGATTTCGGACCTAACTTATTCTCTCTTTTTCTTCATACTAGATCGGGACACCTCAGAGGACATAGCAGGCGAGTAGAAAAGCCAAGAACGAACAAAATACCCGTGGCATACAGGTTTTCACACCGAGTCATCAATACTTGGAACCTGCTGCCTGGAGCAGTGGTGTCCGCACCTTCAATTGACTCTTTCAAGAGAAGACTGGACACTCACAGAAGCATACTAGAAAAGGAATAACATAGGCTGTAGGCCTTCTGTCCTTATTACACAAATCTGAATCCGAAATCTCAGCTCTTTTCTGAATCGTTTCAATCTGTCAGTTGTATGTCCACTCATACCTTGTTTACACTTATGTTCTTCAACCTATTAAAATGCTCCTGCCTAACAAATACCTAAATAGAAGAAAATTAGACTTAGTAATCATACATTAAACATTCTTTCATGCATATTGGCTACTCTGCCTCTCGTCTTTGTTTTACTTGCTACTTCTTTCAGCACCCCTAAGATATGGAACGGATGATTTCATGCTGCACCATCCTTAATGCGTTAGATATTCCAAAGGGACATATGGTTGCGGTTTCTAGGAGCTTCTACCTTTAAAGGACCTATCCTTGACCATCAGTTGCACAACCGCAACGCAACTTTTATGGAGCGCACTAACTGTGATTCAAATGGTTCAGATGGTTGTGGACGGAATCGAAGAAGCTTTCGCTTAACAGGCTTCCGTGTCTAGTAGCAGGAGATCACCAAATCTTCCAGGCAGGAATCTAGGTATGTTAACAATAAAAGAGGAAAAGAAATTGGTAAATCATAGTATGATACTGTCCTTGGTCCTTAAGAATAGGTCAAGTTGCCTCTTGAAGGACTCCGGAGAAGTCGCTTGGACTAGCTCGGCCGGCAGAAAATTCCAGCTCTTGACAACTCTTAAGGAATAGAAGTTGTGTCTACATCCCGTCTTGCTATGTTGAGTTTCCAGTTTCTGGGTGTTACCCCTTAGGTTAGTATTCGAACTAAGCCTGAGTAGGTGTTTAAGAGGATGTCCAGAAGTGTTAAGAATACTATAAGCCATTGATAAATCACCTCTAAGACGCCTATACTCTAATGGGTAAAGGTCTAGTGAATGGAGGCGTTCTTCGTAAGGCTTAGATTTGAGTTCGCGAACTGATTTCGTGGCTCGCCGTTGGATACGCTCGAAATTGACCTTGTCACAGCCGAGTAATTTATTGCAGTGGTTATTGTATCACTTGTACAAATTTGATCTTGACTGTAAACTGGCATGCCTCATGTAACAAACTGTTATTTTAGATAAACTTATAATAATTATTATTATATCTATGCAAGAACAATTATGAGATCATTGGAAGATAGAATTAAAATCAGGCGGGTGGATAAGGCAGTAATTAAATAATCTTCGGAAATATATAACATAAATAGTGTGATAAATAAGGAGGTCGTAAAGAGTTTACGTAAGATTCAAAGCATCTGATGAGGATAGTTGTGAGTTGGTTATTGTTTAGGACTAGAAATTAATCAGATGGGCTACGTAATAACTAGACAGGATTTGAAAGGTTTACTTAAGTTTTCAGAATTGAATGACAGGAAACGATCAGTGATGAAGAGAATTTTCTGAAGTACATAAAGTAAGAACAATGTACTGTACGGTCAGGTTGATAGAGTCTCCATGGGTAAGGCCGTGGATCCGATTCTGACTGATAGATTTATGAAGAACCTGACTTATCTAAAGCTTAAGCATGCAATTGATAGAACTACACACTATTGTAGATTGATGGATGACAAATTTCTTATCTGCAAAAAGCTGTTGCATGCTGTGTGCCTATTCAGTCTGTTTAACATGGCAGAAAAAAACCATGGCAGCTCACATTCTTAGGTGTTAATCTAGAGTAAAAGGTTAAGAAGATGGAAGAAAAGAGAATGGGAACAGAGAATAATTTGTCGGAAGCAAAGGAACAATGAAGTTTGATACGATTGATTGACATTTTGCAAATGAACTATTTACTGTATGGTTCTCAGATTTTACTAAGTGGTGCTGTAATTTTGTATTCAATAACATTCACTTGTCCTCACTAGTGTTACCGTTCAGTACAGTTGTACTTTCATTTACACAATTTCTCAAGATTTCATCATTTACAATCTTGTGCAACTTACAAGTTAAATTATTGTGTGGGGTCATTTCCATAGATAAAACTGATTAATTTTCATTTAACCTAAAGAGAACACATACCACTATACTGGTTGAAAAGAGATTCGATTCTTGAAGTTGGTGTTGTCTAAATTTGATTAAGACTTGTGATATTGAATGCATGAATTCAATTGAATAAACATGTAAGTGGAATGAACATGGACTCGTTCAATGAATGCACATAGACAACGTTGAAGTAGTTCGCCTAAAATAATTCAGCTTTTAGTCGCTTTGTTAATCTGGATAAACGTCTTGTAACGATAATACGCCTAACAAAGACATTTGTTCACAGTAAAGAGTTTAGTTAGAGTCCGCCACAGTTTATTTATAATATGAAATGAATGAAACAATAATATGAATATGGAACGTTCCTAAAAATTATTCAATATACATTTCTAATGACTTAATTAACTCTAAGTAACATTTTATGATAATGTTTAAAGATTGTGTAATTAGTTAGCACGGCCAGCTATTACGTAAGATTCTATGTCACATTCATTATGACCACGTAGTATTTTGAAATATCCATTTTCACCCCAATCTTCATTCCACGAATTCGCGACCAACCAATAAGGAGTCTTCTTTTCCACACCCCATCCGATTATGCGTACGGCGTGCCCACCAACTGGTTCCCCAGTAAGATGTTTATAGATCCCAGATTTGTAATTGAGAAAATCTGTATAAACGCGGAAGCTTGCTTCTACTGGTCCATACTTCATGATTTCCTTTTGAATAGACAATTCATTATCAGCAACATTGTAGGACAATTTACCTAACAGATGAATAAAACGATGATGAAAATGAAACTGTTGTCATTTAACAGAGAGCTTCCAAAAGTAATCTTAAAGAGGGTTATTTCACATGTAGAAGTATCACTTGTAAGCAACTCTTTGATAATATATTGTGATCGATCTATATTGGTGACAAGTCAACGTTTTCATGATGAATTGTTATAATTGTCCAAAAGACATTACTTACCCCGATGCTTGTCTTGAGCGTATGGGATTTTGTAACTTTTCTGACAAGTTTGTTTACAACGAGGAGCCTTGTACATTTTTTCACCACATGCAGGATACTTTCCTTTGGCATGATGCTCACATTTTGGGAATGGATATGGTTGACAGCCTGTGTGATTCTCTTTGGAACTTCCAGTAACAATACCTTCCTTTACCCAATAATCCCAAGCAGGACCAGGAAATCCACCACCACAACCACGTCCACAACGTACGCAACAGCTCACTAGATCCACAGCGCTTAGTTCCACAGATTGTCTGCCACGTGACTGTATGCAGATTCGATCACTCATGGCATCGACAGCTTCGATAGCCTGGAGAAAAGAAATGACAACACAAAGACGTTTTGAGTTTTGTAATGTAATGACTGGTCGAAAATTACTAGCCATTTGAGTTCAATATGATCTGTTTCGTTAGTTATTTTAATCACCGGACATATATTCACAGATGTGATACTCCAAATTGACCTATGTGATGTCATTTAGCATTCAAAAAAACAATTTCTCTAGATAATCTGACTCTGATACTGTTTGACGTTTGGTGAGATCTCCTACAAACTCACTGACGTGTAAAATATTCATACTCATGCCAACATAGTAAACATTTTTCAAATACTGCGATCATTAGAACTCACCCAAGATGATCCACATCGTGATTGATCATGAATGGTCGCTATACTTTTGCAACGAGGCCATTTCTTCCTTGAATCGAAACTTGATGGAATTTCAACATTCCAATCATTATGGTCAACTGTGGGACGTCTCTTCTTTCTTAATTCTGGTTCCTCTCTTCTTGCACCCATCAGAATGCGTGCGTCATCCAGTGAGTGGAAACGTTTGCTTTTTTCAGCTTTCCATTCAGCATTTGGCTGAAGAATGAAAAAGTTGAAATCATGATTGAATGAGAAACTATTCTGAGAATTTTGAACTAAAAGTGGAATTCAAATATGAAGATTGAGATTTTTTTCTTTCAACCGTCAGTTGTTGTATTGAACTTAGATATGTGAAAGAAAATCAGTATTAGGCTGATGGCGTACGAAACAATGTAACATGTCATTTTAAATAATTTATAGATGAATTCTAGTTGCTAAGAGGAGGAATCATCTGATTGATTGCACATTCTCCTCAATCAAATCTCGTTTCGTACACAAGCTACTTACATCATAAAGTAGTAGATCTATTTTAATCCAACCGATCATACACAGTCAGAACATACATTACTACAAAAAAGAACCTACATGTTGATTGATATACGAGATGATGTCATCTGACAATGGTTCAAATCTTTCTTTCTTTATTGAGATATGAGCATCGAGAAGAGTTACCAGTGAAGCGATACACAACACAGACGTAAGCATATCTAAAGAACACTTGTGAATGTACTCCTTCGAATACAACAATCATCATATAATCATTGTTTCATATATACTAAACTAAAATAGTGAACTTTGAGTTACAGTGGTATGATAATATCACATTTATTATTTCACCCACTTTGTTTCCGCCTACAACCAAATGTAACACTTCAATGTAGTTATGAATCAACAAAATATCAAATCAAGATTTTGTAAAATCATCACAGATCACTTCGGAATGTTGATCAAATTTCTTATGCACAATTAGATTCCAAATGAACTAGTAATGTTAATTGGAAATCTTGATATCAAAGGTTAATTTTTTAATCATTGCTATTACAAGTACTTGAAAAATGTGGTAATCACAAATGTGTTTACACATATATTGTGCTTAGTGATAAGTTTTTTATGATAAAACTTTCATTTGGAATAAAAACGGTTTATCTCGACTTAATTAAGCTTCATTTGTACACGGTGTTCAAGCTAGGCTGCAACAATTCTGAAAGAACAAAATATATTACTAATTCACGTTGTGAATTGGATCTTAGCTACTAATTCAGGCCCAAATGCTCTAAATATAGACGAGCAAGAGAGAATCAGCTCCCTCTTTCTAAATGCTCTCACATGACCCACTGACTACCTTCTCGCGGCACTATTGATGTTGACCAAATTGAGAGAAGGAAAAGCGATTGTCCGGCGCTTAAATCAGATTGGTGGACACGGAGAGTCCACCTCGGGTAGTTGGAAAACCCTTATTCCAAGCTACTATTGCATATGAGCTTCAGTATGAGCCAATCACTGGTCACCGGCTACCATGGGACTGTATCTCTTGACGTTGCTCCACTGCCTTGTGGATCATTATTATGTATTAATGCAAAATTTCGATCAAAATTACCACACATTTCATTGAAAATAAACGTAGTTGGATTTTCCGAAAATGTAGATGGTCTCATCTCGCTAGTGTTCCAAACTAATCTTTTACAAATCAAAGAACAAATAGTGTAGATGTATTGTTGTATCCATTCATTCACTCATTACTTTATATCAGAAGAAACAATTGAATGTAGAATGTGATGACTTGATAAACACTAAGTAACTGGGACTTAATCATTATTTGTAAGATTATTCGTATGACTAATGACGAACAGTAAAATAGTATTCACAACGATTAACCACAGCATACTGGTGATTAGCTGTAATTGAAACTGAACAACGGTTATACACATCACTTTGTACTGGTTTGTAGATGTTCATCAACACACAAAACAACTTAAATACAAGGAAATACATACACTCAAACTAAAATTAAGTAAACGAGCTTACTAATTCATTAGTTATAAAGTTTTTCTAACAGACAATTTCACTAAGAGGCAACAGGTTTCGACACTATGTTCTGACGTCTTTCTTTATATATGCTGATTGAATGTTTATCGATCATTTTGGTTTGATTGTTTTCGTATTACCCTGATTCGAAGCTTTTATTCCAATCATAAATTGTTTCTATGGCGTTTTTCAATTATAAACTAGCATCGATTGCTTATATTTACACCACTTCATTGTTTCCATGATTAAGCTTGTTGTTGTTATTGCTTCGTAATACTGATACTTAATAAGTCCACTGAACGGTCTGGTCATGTATGTAAATAAATAAGTGTTTGAGATGTGATAACGATTCTGTACTGGTGATCAATGGTCTTGTATTCTTTCTTCTTCGTTTAGGGATAGTAAGAATCGAGCTAATTGTCAAACACAGATTATCATTCTCGATAGTCGTGATCGTGTGTTCTTCGTTTAATGTCATCTACTTGTATTGGTCTGTTGGAGGACATAAAAAAAGTATCTCTTCATACTATTTAACTATTGGAAATCATTCACTGTAGTTCAGTTAAAACGTGAATGTTCTCAGTTATCATACATTTATACGGTAATTTTCAAGTGCACTGTGGTAAAACACTGTTCAATGAGTTCAGTTAAAAATTACATGAATTAATGTAGTTTAATCGTTAACGGATATTGTAATTGGAACGATAAGAGCTAGTGACAGTTGACACAATACATTATCTCAAATTACTATAAAAGCATAGACGTATGGTATTTCAATGACAACCTTATATATGGATTAGTAAATGATGATTACTGTTTATCATTCAGCATTAAAATGGGTTCTGAATTCATATTAATCGATAATTGTTACTCACTTGGCAACAGAATTGTGAACTAACACACATATAACTGTTAAGTCATTGTAAAAAGAACATATTCGATGATGTTTTAGCTTAGAATGTTTTTTTTCGAACAATCTCAATTTTCATCATATAAATTATGTTGTATCTCTTCATCTACATAAAGCATTGGCGAAATTTTCATTTATGAACAAATCGATCGCTTAAAATAACGTGTTGGCATTTTAACCTATGTCAGTCCGTGATGAAAACTATAAATGCGATTCGTAACCCTAAACATCAATCGTAAATTATGATCCTTACTCTACATATCCTCCTTTATAACCATCATTTAGCTGTAGTAAGCAGAGGGACATTTTCAAGGTCTTTCAAGCGTTGCTCAATGATCGTCCATAAATTATAGTCTCACCAACACAGTTATTCTTACAATACGTTCAAACAAATTAAGCTTAAAGTAGCACGATCACATAATATCAATGTTATCATAGTGTGGTTGACAAAACGTGTTCATTGCTTTAACGGATATTTTGACAGGTATTAAAATTATTATACCCAGCATTATACATGGTTGATATAAGTGACTTCAGTACAGAACTCCTCAACATTTACTGAAGGATGTTGAAGTACTGAGTAATGAAAAAATGAAATAAAAATTTTTGTGTCGCGTTAAAAAGTCAAACCAAATATCGTCACATGAGTACGAACGGTTGATGTTATGTCATATGACAGTACAGATTTACTTGTTTTTATCGTATTTACCATGAATATTTGATAAATGTCATGCACTACTGTTTACTGATAAGTAGCATAATACGGTAACACACAAAATCATCACAGACTGAAGAGTTATAGTTGGATGGTGTAGAATATTCGCACAACTTGTTCGATAGATAACTTTTTTATAATAATGAAGACTAGTCACTTTCTCATTTTTAGTAACAGATCTCAGTAATTTATTTGCATCATGAAAAATTCGGAGTCTTGATTATATGCCAGTTTTATTATTGCATCACGCTGAATAACTCAACCTTCTTTTACCACACACATTGGGATTTAGACGATGAAAATAATTTCGGTAATGAGCAAGATGAAGACGTTCTGTTTTTGACAAAGAAGTGTAACTGCCAGACTGGAATAAAAATACTCCATTTGGTTGATTCTATCTCGTGTGAGGAATGTTGTTGAGTATGATAAGAGTGATATACTTACTATTATCAAAAAACACTGGCTGCCGACAGGTGCTACAATATATACGGATGATTAGAGAGCGTACAGACTCCTACATATACTTGGTTATGTGCATCGTGACATTATCCACAAGTGGTGTTTTGTGTACTCAACAACCGTAGTGCACACAAACAATATTGAAGCTATGTGGTCGAGGCTGAAAGTTTTTGCTGCCTTATCATTGCTCCAGAGTCCGACTATTCTGTAGCCATATAGATGATTTCCTCTACTGCATACATTACGATCATGGAACCTCTGAACTGATTTCTAACATTGAAAAGATTTTTAACCATGTACATAAAATGTATCCACTTTATTTCTTTGGTTTTATTTATATTTTTACTCTATGCTGACTGTTTGCTGATTGGCTAATATTTCTGATGGTCTCATAAGAATCGTTCAAAGGTCGTTCGTAAATTAGAGTCTTGTCACTTAATTTTGTATCAATAGAAAGAACTAAACCACTGATCTGATTATGTTTTTTGGTAGAGCTATGTTCTCTGAAATCAATGTTTGTTTGTGATTATTCTTGTTCAAATAGCATGAGTACTGGGTCTTCAAATACTCTTTTGGAACAGACATTCTCACTTTTAACCACATTGTCCCATTCGCTTTGAACAATGAGTTATGTAGAAAAGTCAGTGGATTAGAATGTAATCTCTGTTTCACCGTGTGTTAACACTTTGTTTTATAATCAAGCGTGAAAACGTTTGAACTATTTGACTCATCAGATTCTGTATTTTCGACCACAATTGTTTGAGTATCATATTTATAATTTTGACATGAATATCGACCTGATTGACATTCTGTATCTTTTCAGTGCATACCATCCAGCCTAAGACTTCATGAGACAAGCGTAAGTAGATCGCCCATATCCTCCCTCATTGACTTTCTGGACAAGGAATAATATTGATCATGCAAGGTAGTTCATGTATAGAAGACAAAGATGGGACGGACGGTCAGCTGAGCAAAGTCGTCGAACCATTCAATACAAGGAGACATTTCGTTCACTTCTATATTATTAAACAGATGACAATAATGATGATAACAGTAATATTATATGTAGTGACGAATGCATAAATGAGACATTTAATTCGCCTTTGAAAACATTCAAAGCATAGCAACCATCCCACAACCAATTTCGATTATGGTTAATTTTGATTAAGTCCTTTTATTAACTTACTTAACAGACAATGTTATTTGAATAGTAGCAATTCACATATTTCTTTACACTGTCATGACCATTTGATCGCATGACAGGTCGTTAGAACCGTCAACTTTAAGGAAAAGCAAACATCTTAATACAGATTCGCTTTCACATGAAGTGAGAAAATAACTAATCGTTATTTACCTAGATTTATGATTTCATTTGATAACTGGAATAAGCCACATGTCCATTTCAAAGACGTCTATAGAATCCTCATATCAAACTCCTAGAAATATCAGCACATGTAGACATTCAGGCTATGAATGATGAATGGTAAGTATAAAGAAATATGTCTTTTCTTTGCGTTCAACATTGAGTTAGCTTGTAGTGAACAAGTCCGAACTATTTCGTTTCGGAAATTCGGTGTTTAACAAGGATCACTAATTGAAATTGATTCTCATATTATCTTGACCACGTTAATATAACTACCTTGAACTATTAATTCTGTGCCTTGTTCAGAAAGTTATAGAGGTGAGATACAGGTGACCAACCTGTGCTTGTCTCATAAAGTCTTAGGCCGGATGGTGTGTACTGAATAGATAAAGAATGTCAATAACGTTCAACTTCACATCATAGATTATATAAGTGTCACCCAAAAAGTTTAGTTGAAACTGTAGAATCTGATGGATGAAATAGTTCAAGCAAATTGGTAGGACATAGTTAGCGGAGATCATATTCTAATGTGTTCACGTTGTCTAGATAACTTACTGTTGGTAGCCAGTAAGACATTGAGGTTGAAAGTAAGAATGTCTATTTGCAACGAGTATTTGGATGGCCGGTATTCATGCTGTATAAATCAAAAGAGCAAAATAAAACAGAATCTGATAGCGATATTTCAAAAGAACGGCCACACATGAACTTCGTTCAAAATGTCGACACAACTGTTCAAGATAAGCAAAGTCAACTAGAGAAACCAGTGAACCGATCAACCTACAATATAGAGAGGATGTATCCAATACATATAACAATGATGAACATGATGGTTTTAATGGAAAACGTTAAAATTGACCCAAACAATTATGAAATCAGACTGACATTGTCAAGATACAATGCAACGTATGTAAAGGTCAGGTTGAAAGCAGATTGGACAATTTGTTTCAAAAGTTTAGATGAATTGTGGTAATGGAGTTAAATATACGACGAGTTACAGTACACACGATTCATACGAATTTACATTAAATAGCGTAGTGACATTAAGAAATATATGACAAAGGTAATTGGAACTAAGAAATGTTAAATAATTTCTGAATCGAATATGCTTCGCCTGTAATCAACACAATTCTCCATTGTAGCACGTTGTAGTATAACGCTATTGGATTCGTTCTATACAAAAGTCGTTTTGAGAGTGGTCCGTATAAAAGGTTTACAGATAGTCTGAGTGAAAACACAAACAGGTTAAGTACAGAAACAGTAAATCATCCAGCGAAATTATAAAACTCGCCTGCATTATTTTAAGGAATTTGATAATCCAATAAGTTTGATATATAAGAACAAATGTTACAAGTAATAATGATCCAAAGCAGCGAGATTGAACACGCAGTATCTCAACCAATTCCTGAGTGTGTGTCATGTTATTGACTTTGTTATTCCGTTGATTTAGTAAAAACAACAACATGTAAACAATCTGAAATGAAATCAGAATTGAAGAAACTTTGTTGCTTAAACTCGTTGTGAGTTTCTGGAGTATCGTACTTGTTGTTTGGCAATGGAACTGGAAAGTCGGAAATTAGGCAGGCAGTGATCGGGAGAAAAGATAATACAGGATAGAGTTTAGTTTAAAACAAAGTGAAATGTTAAGTCCAGATAACCATTAATTCCCTGCTCACGTTGCTCGACAATGTCTGTTTACGTCATTTAAAGGTCACGGTTGATAGTGATTGATGTTTTAACAAGTTTCGTCTGCTGAAGCATGTAAATGTCATGTTAATGAACCATTCTAGTTTATCAATCATACAGATGATCTATTACTATACACAATTGAGCCAGTAAGTTAAGAGCACTAATCAACATTACAAAGCGATAATACACGCGAGCAATAATCAGTGGATTATTAGAATGATGGGTTGACATAAGTAGAGATTGATCGAGAAAGTCAAAATAGAAGTGAAAGTTATTAATGTTCTGCGTTTCTTTATTCGAGCTTATCAATGTAGAACTATGGTTTAGGATCGTTGTTAGTACTGGTCTAATAATAGACCTAATCCGAAAATGGTAGATTTGTCATGATGTGACTCCCTAGTCTATAAGATTTTAGGTGCAACTCAAATCATTCTCTACAATGACTCGTCCTATCGCAGGAATCACTAATATGATGTTGCTTACTTCAGGAGAACATATTCGGGCTGGAGATAGAACAATATGAATATGAGAGACAAGTTATACAAGAATATCAACGTCTGCAAGCCTGAGCCATGCCATCCGATACACGAAACATGATGTGGGCTATGTCATCAGGTAGACTGACCACAGTCTCATAGTCAATACACATACGACGAGTCATCTGGTGGAGTCAAGCGGTATCGGGATTATTAATGGCAGTCAATTCAATTGATAAATTGAGGACGTTAAAACTAGATGTTTCTGTAAGCAAATGGTCACTAAACTCATTTGAATTTAGATGACAAAGGATTAGAGTGTTTATTCATAGCAGAATAAAAACATTCTATGAATCGATGAACAAAGCATTTGTTTTCACTTCATGTTGTTTTTAGAGAAGTAGTGATTAATGAAAATTTCACTCATCTTCGCTGTGTGTGTATCGGTGATTGTCAGTCATATGAATGCATCATTAGAAGTGAACATTCCTTATCATGCTCAAGATTCATATTTCGTTCACTTCACAGTAGAGAATACCATACTATATTGATCAGATAAATAGAATATGGTGATGGACAGCAAGTAATTATGATCATTGATATTTCTACAAAACAAAAATAACAGGGGTCAACAAAAATATGTTGTTTTTAAGTGAGCTCTCACATAATATAGTCCGCGATTATGAAAATATCACTTTTATCATTTAAAAACATTGCAGCGTTCAATTATTATGACAATACGCAATGTTATTTACTACTGAAAAAAATAAATCGTGGAGAAATCGCAAGTTTTCAGATTTCGATCTAGAACGCATATAACTTTCAGATCATGAACGTAGACCACTGCATCATTAGTGCAGTTGGACAAAGTGAACCATTTCACGGCGAAATAAGGTGCTGAGTTTGTGATCGGTAGACGACGAGAGAGAATAACCTATGACAACCATATTCACCTTGGTTCTTTAGTCGAATTCTATTAAAGTCTGTTGCAAGTATTACAGTTTAGAATGAAGAAATCAGTCTACAATTCAAGAGTTGCCAATGCTACTATTGTAAACATGATTATTTTCCGAAGTATAATTAGTCAATTGATAATGTGAAATGAGTTCAAAAACTCAGTGTGATTCACAGGTATGAAAATGACTTTGACGTTGCATACATGTTAACTTGAATAGCAAGATCTTAATTTTGTTCATCTTGTTTATCCACTCAATTCAGATATTTCATGATGAAAATATGGTTGATTGGGGCCAAATGTCAATTTTCGCAATCGACCTCAGTAGCATTTGCCAGTCGGTAATACCATGAACAATAAACGTCAGAACTAATCGCGTTTGCTCGCACATATTACTCCTTACATGTTTATTAATTTGTCGAAATTGGTTGTCATTGAGACGTTGAGCTATTTTGGGTTTGAAATTAAAATCTTTACATATTGGTAATAAGTAAAGAGTGTTTATTAATCTCCGTTGAAGATGTACTGGAGAAGATTGAAATCATTTAAAGAAAAATAATCTTTGTTTGGCTTATTAAATAGCACGGAAGTATACCACATGTAACCAATAAGTTGTTTCCAAGAGCTGTCATCATGAAATTGCATTGAGACATTTATTCATAACATTATAATTAACATCCTTATTCAGTATTATGAGTTTGGTACAATACAGAATTCTAAGCACATGAGGTTTCAATAAGTTCATTTTACAAGAAAGGCGAAAAAAAATGAAAACAACTGATAACTGCCGGGTATTGAATGAAATTCTTTTTGTTATTGAGAAGATTTGGAATCTGTGCAAAACTTTGACATCAAATCAAAACAGTATGTGCGAATTTAATGTTAACCAATCTACTTAAAACAGCAAACCATTGACAGCCAATGAACAGATGAGCGCATATTTTGAAATACAAGTTATTTATGCGCTTGTTTTAAAGTGTTTTAATTCACATCTGAGGGACGTTTCATCAATAGGGATCAGGGATTTTATTTCAAAGTTGGATAAACTTCGGTGACAACCAGGAGAATACTGAATAACAATGAGTTCATCTGCCACCATGATTGTTCAACAATGAACATTTGATTCCATCAAATGTCATCTCGCTAATGGCCATATTGAATCATCAAATTAGAGAGAATTAAACAAAAACCAAAAACGTTTATATAAACCTGACTATTTTCATTTAATTTGGTTCACTAATTTGAACGAGATGAGGTGAAATTAGTTTGTACAGAAAAATTCATGTGGGACAAATTTCAAATATTATAACAGGCATTTTGACTGCTGAGAGCGAGGTATTATATTGTTTAGTTATTATTTGTTTTGACTCTTATTCTGGCGATTATTTAGCATAAATTACTCATCATTTAACCTGAGTATTACACAAGAGTTTGCCAGTATGCAGTGGTTATTGTGTCAGTGAGATTTTCATACCAGAACATGTGTGTCACAGCACGTATTGATTACAGTCAAGTGAAGATATTAATTAAGACAGAGATTGTTATATCCGAGCGAAGATTAAATTACAGGTAACTCCCGAGGACTATTAGTGGACTAATATTCTATAAATATTCTTATTGTAAAACTATTCAATCATTAGATTATGTATATTTATATCCCTCTTATTATAAGCTTTATTTTGATCTATAATTTATTATTGTACGATTTACGGTTCTTAAACTATGTTCAGTCTATTAATTACGGTCCCCCTCGTTCACAGCCACTTTTTGGCTTATTTGTGTACATATGTTATTTCCTAATTTATGGTGTGTTGTGGTCTGTCTGTTTGATATATAAACCGAGTATGTTTGAAATAAACGATCTGCTCTGATCTGCCCTAATTCGAAGCTGGTATTGTATTCTGGACTCAAGTGGAAGGGCTCGTAGTACATAGGACCAATAAGGACGCTAGACTGCCCACACCGGTTGAACGTCATTGGTTGGCCTAGTGTGAAATTCGCATAAGTCGTATCCGGATTGGTAGATAGGTCGCGTGATAGCGAAACCAGACATACCCAAGGTCATAACAATTGGCGACGGGGATTTTGGAAAAAAAAGCGATTCAAGGTCATAACAATTGGCGACGGGGATTTTGGCAACAAAAAAATACAAGTGGTGACTCAGATTTTGTAAATAAATTAGCTGTTATAATTGCCGGTGATTTTTGGAGCTAATATTATTGGCAAAAAAAAGATGGCGATTTCTTTAGAACAGTTGCGGTTAATATTACAGCACCAGCAGAAGATGTTGGCCTTGCAACAACAGCTATTTGAAACAGTTTTGGGCAGACTTTGCAATCAAGCAGAAAATAAGAAATCTAATTATCATGCAGATAATGGTGCAGTAATGGACATTTCAGAAGCATATCCTGTGCAGAATTCAAATCCCTTTATACCAGAAGGAGAACGTAATATTAGTAACGTGTCCAGCTCAGAGCAAGAAAATATTGTGCTAAATGCACATGAAGTTGTGACGATACCAAATGATCAAGAGCCAGACCCTGTAGATGAAGCCCGGAGTCCAGAATTGAATGAAGCACTACTGGTCCTGTCTAATTCTGAAAATGAATTTCAGCTAGAACAAAATTATGGTCCACTTGATATTAGCCGAGAAAGCTATGGGGACTCGTATTCAGAAAATAACTGCAGTGACACGATGAACCCAATTATACCGAATGTTACTCAAAATCATTGTGAGACAGAAATTTATATTGAATCAGCTTATCCGATATCTAATGACAAAGTAGCAGATATGGGTTCTCAGAATAATGCATGTAATTTTGATGAAATTTTTTATAAAAATGAGAAAAAAATATCGGCTGAGTCAAATTATGGTCAAAAGTCTAATGTAATTTTGTTAGATGATGATTTCCGTAATGATCCATTATCCATTGATGAAATTCCTAATGGATTTGAAAGTAATGCTTCAGAAGAATTAAACTTTGACCTCAAATCAAAGGTTGTTCATTATCATCTAGTCGTTTTTAGTGGATCCGACATTCTATGCGAGAAACGTCGTTTAAATAATGTCCTATTATTTGTAACTTGGAGATATAAGGACCCAACATTATTTCGAGGAGGAGGAGAATGTTGGAGAATTCAAAGTTACAAAAAAAAATTCTTTTTTTTTTAAATCCGAATCTAAACTTGAAATCTTCGAAAAAAAAGGGGAGGTGTTATATCCGAGCGAAGATTAAATTACAGGTAACTCCCGAGGACTATTAGTGGACTAATATTCTATAAATATTCTTATTGTAAAACTATTCAATCATTAGATTATGTATATTTATATCCCTCTTATTATAAGCTTTATTTTGATCTATAATTTATTATTGTACGATTTACGGTTCTTAAACTATGTTCAGTCTATTAATTACGGTCCCCCTCGTTCACAGCCACTTTTTGGCTTATTTGTGTACATATGTTATTTCCTAATTTATGGTGTGTTGTGGTCTGTCTGTTTGATATATAAACCGAGTATGTTTGAAATAAACGATCTGCTCTGATCTGCCCTAATTCGAAGCTGGTATTGTATTCTGGACTCAAGTGGAAGGGCTCGTAGTACATAGGACCAATAAGGACGCTAGACTGCCCACACCGGTTGAACGTCATTGGTTGGCCTAGTGTGAAATTCGCATAAGTCGTATCCGGATTGGTAGATAGGTCGCGTGATAGCGAAACCAGACATACCCAAGGTCATAACAATTGGCGACGGGGATTTTGGAAAAAAAAAGCGATTCAAGGTCATAACAGAGATCCACCTTGAAATAAACACACATTGATTAAGTAGAAATGACAAACCCTGTGATTTAATTCACAAAGTAAAAATCAACTGATCTTTAGTCTGTACAAACTACAAAATAGGCGAGATATCTCACTAACAAGATATTTCTTGGTAGACTAAATAAATCAAACTGATTATAAGTGCAAGAAAAATCAATGTTTGAGAAAATTCATTTTGGATAACTGAATTTCACAAACTATCAACTGATGTTTTATGTCTATCAATACTTTTGTAGCAATTATTTGGTCCTTAAAAGTTCGATTTCTGTGAGTTGCTGTCTGTTGACAATTGTATATTCAACACTATCTTTGTGATCATATTCGTGTGGTTATGAACTTCTAAACCATGCATTTCCTGAGGAAGCTGACCAATAAACGACCATGAATAGTCTGCTAGTACAACACGATTTACTAGAAAAGAAGCACTTAGAATATCCAGTTCGCATTATTTCATTTCAGATGGTTGTCAGAATTGATGAATAACAGAAACTGATAAATTGGTTATTTTCGATAGATATCAGAGGTTTCCTACTTGGCTCAAATATTCTTTTCGGCCGATCGTATTGAAAATTTCATCATATCTTTGAACTGATTATATTGCTTGAAAAGCTTGCACAGGATGTGATTGAGTATTAGGCTACACTGTTTAATTTAAATCTCAGAAAGATGAAAACTTGTTTGTAGAGGCAGTCCATATTCAACCTACTTGTATTAAAAGAGAAAGACATTTTTATGTAGGCATATAAACATCTATTTTGATCTTCATTATTTCAAAGGAATTACTCGCTAACAAATCATCTTTTCTGAAAACGGCTAATGGCACAGGTGAGCAAATATAGAGTGATCATTTGGTCACAGGTGTGAAATTTTTTTCTTTGAAACCTTCACTCGGTTTGATCACTCCAACTTTGCCTGTTCAGTTTGAACAAGTCAATTCTTTCCAAAATATGACAGAGAAAATATGGTGCTACTATTCCAGTAAATGAGAGTAAACTCATACGTGAAATTCACTCACCATTTGAACACAATGATTGGAACTTGGAGAACAGTTAACATGATCTGGAAAAGTCTAGATTTAACGAGCAATCAATTATTCCCCATACAAACATAAAGTCACAATCTCATTTACCCTGTGAGAAAACGAATGCAGAGATTTATTGTCGTTCACAGGCTTTAATTAAACTTGTTAAGAATTCTGTTTTACAAAATGAATAAACTGAGTTGTGTGTTCGTCACAAAGTCATTATTAAATAATATCCATGCAAACTGTAAAATCTTCCAGACAAAATATCTTTAGCTATTCGATTCTCATTTATAATAAATAAACACTACTGTCAAAGATGGTGAAGAAGATTTGTAGCTGAGGTGGATGATTTTGGTAGAGTTTTGTTCTCTGAGGATCCGCAAATACCAACACGTCATAGAGGACCAAATGATAAAGCTACAAAAGATGCTCACATCCGAACATTTGAAAATCGTGACAACAGCCATCGCAATATCATGAAAACAACACGGAGAACAAAGAAGAAACACCTTTAAGAAAAAACTAATCAAGATCTCAAAACCACACATGAAAGAAAACACAAACAACTGCGTGATCAATCTATCAAAACAATCACTAATAAATACGGAAGAACACCTGCTCCAAAAGGAATTAAACTACAATACAATGGACGCATCAAAGCTGGAGTTCATTGCAGCACTAGAAACATTACTCAAAACCTACGGAATCAGTGAAGAATCACAACAGGAAATAAGGCAGACTATAGTACCGATAACGCAACAAGTGAAATAAAACAACCAGTCGACTACACAAAAACAAATGGCCTTGAAAGAACTCAGAAATAATACCAGCGGACAAAGGACGCACCACAGTAATCATGGATAAAGAAGAATACGTCAACAAAGCCGAAGAACTACTTGAAGATAAGAGCACATACAAACTGATGGACACAAATCCTGTTCAGATCTCAAGGACTTTAAACAAGCTAGTCAAAGCAGAAGAAATAACAAAACAAAAATCCAGTAGACCAGTACTCCCTCGACTCTACGGCAGACCCAAAATACACAAACCAAACATTTCACTTCGTCCAATAGTAGCACTACCAGGAACGCCAACGTACAATTTGTCAAAAGAAATTTCACGAATACTGAAACATCTAGTAGATTCAGCCAAACACTCCATCAAATCCCGAAGACAATTTCTGGACCAAATTAAGGATATTCGGATCAACAACGACGAAAACATGGTATCCTTCGACGTAACCGCACTCTTGGCCTCAATCAAGCCACAATTAGCAAAAGAAACTATATCTCTGCTACTCAACAACGACACAAATCTGACCAAATACACCAAGCTTTAAATTCAAAGTCTACTGAAACTCATTGATTTATGCCTAACAACATATTTTCAATTCAACAACAAGATCTACGAACGAACAAAAGGGACACCCATGGGATCACCGATATCAGGACTGATCGCAGAGGCAGTGATGCAAAAACTAGAAGCCACGATATTACTAGTGATGAAGTCAAAAATTTGGATTCGCTACGTAGACGACACCTTCGTCATCGTCAAAAAGAATGAACTGGAAAACACATGCAAACTGATCAACAACGTTTTCAGTGACATCAAGTTCACAATGGAACAGGAGTCAAACAACCAACAAGCATTCTTGGATATATTGATCACTAGAACTGACTCAGGAAAACTGGAAACTCAAGTATGTAGGAAACCGACCCGTACAGATTACATTCTCAATTACAACAGCAACAAACCAAGAGCTCATAAAATCAACTGCGTACACACATTGTTCAAGAGAGCGAGTACACAATGCAGCACTGGCAGCACGAAAAAATGAAGAGAAATGCCTGAAGGACATATTTCAAAAGAACGGCTACCCAATCAACTTTATCAAAAAGCATCAACGGCACACAGCATCAGAACCCAAGTCGAGCACAAAAATCAACAATAGGATAACCCTACCGTAAATACAAGGAATATCAGAAACCGCAACGAGACTGCTGAAAACCTTTCGGAAAAGGTGTGGCACACAGACCAACAAAATCACTACAATCAATCCTATGCAAACCAAAGGATGAAATAACAAAGGAAAACATATCAAACATCATCTACAAAATAAATTGTACCAACTGCGACAAACACTACATCGGAAAAAGCGGACGCCCCCTCCATCTACGCTTACATGAACATCAATTAGCAGTCAAACGCCATGATATCTCTTCACTTATATCAATACACGTGGATAACTACGGACAATAATTCGATTGGGAAAATGCATAAATCTTAGACAGAGGAAACTCCAAAAACACCAGAGAATTTTTAGAAGCCTGGCACTCAATTCAATCAGCAATCAACAAACATATTAAAATCAATCCAATTTATCGACCAATCAGAAAAATCATGCACAAATATAGGAACAGAAATCAAACCAATGGGAGACACAACCAAAACAAAGAAGCAAACAATGACAAATTTAAGGTCAACAAGAACCAATCAACATCGAGGTGCACAGAACAAGCTGTGAAACACATATGAAGAAATCCGAACACTTCACTTCTATCTGAAGTTTGCGCTGATGATGTCATCCAGAAGAACGATGAAAGCTCCACGACCAAACCATCCAGCTCAGAGAAAAAAACTTCAACAAAAACTACTGCCAGTGTCAGTCGATTGACTGAAACATTCATGTGTTCATGCGGAATTAAGGAAGATATTGCGCAATTGTCAATACCTGTCAGACTATCAGATGTTATAAAAAGCGTGATGATTTGTTGTTTCATCAATAATCAATTAGTATTACAGCCTGAGAAAACAAACATTCGTTTTGAAAAGAGCATGTTTGTCTCATTTATAATACGTTCACTTGAATACGTTTATTACTATTTCAACTAAAGAAAACATCTGAGATAACAGAGTATATATCCACTGAAATCTGATGGCGATGTGAGATGGCATTTACACCGTTATGTCTAACAATAAATTGCCCACTAACTATTTCGTAAATTTTAATGATCCACTCATTTACTCAATCACTAACCTATATTAAATGCCTGATCTTTACGTTTCACTCAAATAATCATGTATTGGCTAATGACGAAGCTGAATTTCTAGACAACCGCTGAGTCTATGTGATTAGGTGATATACAGTATTTTATCTTTGCATGCGAAAAAATACACTCAATTTGTAGGCACGTGGTAGATGTTGATCGTTCGGAATGTATTAGAGAGTCTTTAGATAGCGATGAATATTACAATTTCTGAATCGTTGTTTGAATCATCGTACTGGTTTTTCGAACTGCGATTGATCAGTCTCTTATCAATGTATATGCATTGTGTAGAATAGACTAAACGTCGCATATTAGTGGGTTAAGAAGCCATCAGGTGTATGTTGAACAATATTTTATGAGCGTTGACTATTTTCACACTCAAAAACAACACTTTTGTTTTATCAAATTGAAAAATCCATGTGTAACTGTGGTCAATTATTAAGTTATATTCCAGCATTCGTCCCAAATGATACTTCACCGACAATTAATAATTACACATCTGTTCATTGTTGAATGATAGAACAGATTGAGGACCCGATTTGGAACTAATATTGAAGTCTTCTCATTGATGGAATTCACCCAAGCACATAGATACAAGACGACTGATGAGATGATATTAATCTCGGAAAATACTGTATGTCAGTTAGTTAACCGTGCTTTGACTAATAAGCGTCTGCTTCTTCTTGCGATACATGATATATCGAACTTTCTCGAGATATTGAAATTGCGAAAACATTCCATGTAATTGCGATCACCTTGAGTGCCTTATT